TTTTTTAAATCCAACCCTTGATTATTAAGGACATAGAATCTTTTCCCTACAACAATGACATGCACTAGAAAATCTAATAAAGCTAGCTATAGGAAAGGGTAGAAAAATCTCCATGTTAATCGAGATGTCCAGCCAAGCCAGCCATATATGTTTGAAGTAAATTTAAAACGTAATGTACTTTTTTAACACGTTTACTGGGTCCATGGGGCAAGAAAAACTGCTAGCTGCATAGGTCTAAGATTATCTTTTACCAAAAAAACAATTGTCTTGACTCGCCAAATCTAAAGATTAATAGATTGTTCAATTATTCATATCAAAATTATGATAATGCGCCAAAAAAATTTACATTTATCATCTTATTAGCATGTAGTTTACTATAGGGATAGGGTTGAGCAAGGACAAGAGAGATGACTAAAGTTTAATGTTTCACTCTCAATCAAAAGCCGATGGAAAACTGACAAAATTAAGGCATAATGGGAGGAGAAAAAGGAGGGAGATTTTTCCTTCTTTTCTCTTTGAAAATAAGGAGGGGCTATAGGGCAGCTTGATGATGGTTTCATTGGGTGTGTCTATGCTATTGCTTTGTGATAGATTTTTTTTTTTTTTTTTGCTTTTGAAAGCTTTTGAAAGTTTATTTATAAAAAGACTGTTTTAAGGCAAGCCATAGCAGTTGAAACTTTTGCATAGGGTTCCACAGGCTCGGTCTTTTTCTGGATCGTCTTGCTCTTTGATGGCTGCTTCTGGGACAAATATATCACCGACTCTCCCCCCCTCCCTCTCTTTATGTCTATTTTTTTATATCTTCCCACTTAGAACAGTTTATAAAGTATTTTAGTATTTATTCAAAGACTTTATGCCATTATTATTGTTATTTTTTTTCTAAGATTAAAGTGTGGTATCTTATATAACCTATCCTTTTGCTTCAAATCGTCCATATATATGTAAGATAAACAAAGACTAGACATAAGGGGGCTATGTTACTTGAATCAAGACCTCCTTTTTGGAGGGAGATTTTGCTATCAAGAAAGAGACCAATAACATTTGTCATTTGTAACGTTTCTGTCTTGTGGGGGTTGGCTTGGCTCCCACCATTAGTCCCATCAATTTTTATTTTAAAAGTTAGATAAGACGGTTCTTCCCCACCTCTTTTCGATCCACATGTCTTGTTATTTCCTTGTCCACTTGGCTCTCAAAAACAAGTAGGTAAAACCGTTTTAATTGAGAAATAATAAGTGAATATCTAAGACAACGTTATCCCATAGATTATTACCAACAGAAGGTTATTCAATTGATCATTCTTTTCTATATAAATAATTTTGGATTTGAATCATATCAGTAATTTTTTATTGAAATTATATTAAATGTATAATTTGTAATTATTTTCTTTAAATTATTAAGTGTAATATATTTTATTTTATTTAAAAGATTGAGCAATCTATATAAATTTTTTGTAAAAAAAAAATTTATGGTTTCGGTGAGCTTTGAACTCCAACAAGCGCCTAGGGTTTATATTTTTATATTTTTGTATTTTTTAAAAATTAATTAATTAATTAATATAATTCCAATGATAAAAATCTTTTTTTTTTTTTTTGGTTTCAACTTGATCACTTTAATAATGTTCAAATGTTAACGTATAGGATTGAATATAGTTAGGTTTGGGTCACTTCATTATTGAGAAAAGTTTTTGAAAATTTTGATTTTGGTTTATATTTCGTGCATGTGTTTGAAAGTGGGAGTCATGTTTTTCTTTTCTAATACACGAGTGTCTGTTACAATGGTTGAAAATATATATATACCATATGCGTATACCGTATAGAGATAAAAATCATAGTATATAAAATGTTATAGCTTCCTATGAAGAAACATAAAACTATTTTCACAAGTATTTTGAGTTTTAATTTCGTATTTTCCATGAATCAAATTTTCTTGAAAAATTATTAAAAGATGTGCGATTATGTTATTAAAAACATCGTATATAGGATATGATGATTTTAAATTAATCTCGCTCGTGATGTTTCAAAATTCATGGTAATTTATTCGAAACAATTACAATCTATAAACTCTTTATGTCGCAATGTTTATAATAATTTCAACTCTTTTTTTTTTTTAAATTGTTATTGGCATGCTATTTATGTATTTATATATATACTATTACTATAACCTGTTTATTGCAATGAAGAAACAATGTTTCTAGATAACAAACTTGCTTGAATTTTGATTTATTGAAACTTTTTTTGAAGTTAAGTAGTTTTCCATCAAAAGAATGTATTAGCCAAAAAAATTGACTTGTGGGGAAAACTTAAGTTTGAAATGCCTAACAAGGTTGGCCACACATAATTATATTTGAATTAAATTCCAATCAAGTGAAAATTGAAAAGTATGATTTAAACATTTTACTAGTAATTGTACTATTAAATACACCTTTTTAAAAATATTTAAAACAATAATGTTGACCAAGAAACAAAATTGGGTGATTTTCACACAAGTATTTTGGTGATTTAAATGCATTTAATTAATTCATTTGATAATAATATGGTTGTCTACCTCTTAAAACTCAATTCAAATCTAAAATCTTTATGAGTTTAGTAGTAGACAGACTATCAACATCAACATTTAGGCATTCAAATGTCAATGATATTTTAAAAAACAAAAAATTCTAATCATAATTTAATTACATTTTACATTAGTCATCGATTTATCACAACTCTCCTCATTTTATTCGGGTTTGAGATCGACAATAGGATAATGCATAGGCGAAATTTAAGAAAACAAATAATAGTAAATGATAATTTGGGAAAACTTTTTGTAATATTTTGGACAATAAATTTTATCATTTCAGTCTATTCTTAGCTGGTTATATCAAATAAAAATGTATGTGGTGGATTTTTCATTTAAGAAGTGGGTAATTAATCAAATCCTTAATTACATTTTCGGGAGAATGTAAATTCCATAATAAGAACACAATGATAAGATTCATCATGTTATCTTGATTCGATGAAGATAGACAATTTTTTCTCAACTCATATAAACTCGTAAATCTTATCTTATTAACTCTAAAATTTGAACTTAAAATCTTTAAATTAAAATTTTAAATTTTAAATTTAATTTTTTTTAAAGAGTCGTTGATTGATTATAGAATCGATAAAAGAATTTGTTTTACATAATTACACGTGTTTTTAAAAATTACCTCAAAGTTCAATATCTATGCTTTGGTACCATTATTATAACTATGTTATACAAATTAAATTACTTTTTTTATTAGATGATAGATAATTTTATGGTAAAAGCATGCAACATTGTCATATTCTTCTTTATAAAAAGACAAAAGATCTTTGTGTTGTTTTTCTTTAAATCTTTCAAACAATAAGCAAAACAGAAGTTTCCTATTTTGATTTGCATTTTGGGTTTTTTTTTTTCCTCTAAAATCTAATTGATTTATATTATTCACATGAAGAAACAAACAAAAAGAAAAAGTGAGAAAAATAATGAATGAAAGCAACCAAACACCATTTAAGTGAAAAAGCAAATAAAATGCAATCAGTGTCCCACACACAAACAGAAAAATCACTTTTAATTTTCAAAAATGATCCAACAAACAACATTTATATTTTCCATTCCAAGAAAATGAAAAATAAGACTCACTTCCTTCAATTTGTGTCAGAAAATTGGCTGGAGATTTTAAACAAGCAAAAATAATTCAACCAACCCCCAATAATGGTAACAATTGACGTGAAGTCACTACCCAATGAAAACCAGCCACGTTGACAGAATTAGTCATTCCATCCAGTCAACCCACGCGTTTCGTTCACGTGAATGTTAAGAGCGTGGGATTGTTTGGAATTTTGAAAAGTAAAATCAACCCTCCAAAATAAGAAAATCAATGAATTTAAATGAAAAATAAAAAAATAGCTGGGAAAGAAGTGCGAAGGTTAGGTCACGAAAATCGTTAAGATCCTTTAAAAACATTATTATTAAAAATTTTTAATAATTTACGTATTTTTGTTATTAATATTTCTTATTAAATATAAATAAAATTTAAAATTATTTTATCATAATTTGTGTTGACATAATAAATATAAAAATATTTTTTAAATTTTATTAAATTTATATATAATTTTTATTCAAATTTTAAATTATGTATTTTTTATATTATTTTATTATATATTAAAATTTTAGATTTTAAAAACATAGATAATAGTAATGGGGTTTGCTTTTGGAGCAGAGTGGGCTTAGTCTGCAAGGCTTTTATTGACACAACATCATGAAATTCAGCGTTATTTATTTATGAATTTTTTAAATTTTAATTTAATATTTTCAAACTCTCCTTCATGCCGGCACCCGCGCAATAAGGATCCACGTTGGATCCTCGTTTAAGTACGGTGAGATGCGATTTAAACGCTTTGACAGCAGGTTTGTAGCATGTGAATAGCACAGTTGTGATGCGATGGATCTATTTCAATCGCACTAAAGTCGTGGTTACTGGTTAGTGACTGGACTTATATGGATCCGTTTGACAAAATAACTTTCAGCGTGATTTTCTTTCAATTTTACCCTTTATGATTTTTTTAATTTTTTATTCTTTTATTTAAAATGATAAATAAATTTATAATTTAACATAATAAACAAATAAATAAGTAAATAACAAAATTATTTAAAAAATACGTAAATAAATATAGTTATACATAATATAAAGTAACTTTATATATAAAATATACGCAGAAATTTTGAGAGAATAAAAATTTTATTATATATAAATGTCAATATAATATTTTTAATGATTTTTTTATTATAATATTTTATTTCATTTTCATCATTATTTTTATCTAAATATATATTATTAATTTTAATTTTATCTTTGTAATATCTAATCTCATTGTAAGTATAATTAATTTAGACCTAAAGTGAGAATAAGTTGGTTTAAATTAATATTTTAACGCTTTTCCACTTTTTTTTTTTTTTCATTAAGTAAAGAAATCCTACAAAATCCAAAATCCTTGAAAGAAAGCAGAGAGTACTTTCAAAAAGTTTCTTTGAGAGTGAAATCAACCAGTCAAAAACCCAAAATACAATTCATTGTAGAAAGATCATATAACTCTTGCATTTTTCATTTTCTCTTCAAAGTTTCAATCTTTTTTCCACTTTAGATCTACCCTTTTCGAGTCTACGTATATACATGTAAATTTGAATCAGAAAGTTCAAGCTTTAGCAGCATTTAAATGGTGGGATGGTGGAGACCTTGTGATTCTATTTTCTAAGAACAGAAAAAAAAAAAAAAAGGTTAGAATCCGAGGAATGGAGTAGAAGGGGAGACAAAGCATAGAGTTATTGAGAGTAATAAGGATTCCGTTTGAACCCAACAGTGAGTTTTATTGTAAAAAAGACAGAAGAAAAAAAGAGAGGGAAGTGGAAGCTTTGGTTCCTTTTTCAGGGATTCAAGTGTATTTTTATTATAAAGGTCACAAAAGGGGTTGGCTTTTTAGCATGCCACTTGGGTTTTAATAAAAGGGGAGAAGCGTCAAGGCACCAGAGACTGTGAGATACAGAGAAGAAAAAAATATGCAGGAAATAAAGAAGAAGAATTGTGGAGCAGGTAGCAATGAAGATTCCAAGAAGAAGGAGCGTCATATAGTAACGTGGACTCAAGAGGTCTTCTTCTTTGTTTTCCTTTTTGTTTTTTTTCTTAATTTATTGATTCTTTGTTTTGGGTTCTTACTAATTTGATAAGTTGTTATCCGGAGTTGCAGGAAGATGATATACTTCGTGAACAAATCAGTTTAAATGGAACTGAAAAGTGAGCCTTTTTTCATTCAGTGTTCTTTTCCTTCAAAGTGTTAGCCATTTTTAATGATGAATGGAATTGAGGGAGTTTGTTTGTGTTTCTTTGAGTGCAGCTGGGCGATAATTGCCTCTAAATTCAAGGATAAAACGACAAGACAGTGCAGAAGAAGGTTGGTGAAACCATGATGATGACATGGCTTTCAAAAAGTTTGTTGATAATCTTCTATTTTGATCCGTTTGATCATTAATTTGCTTGACTTTTTTTTTACAAGTGGTTTAATCTAATATAATGCATTTCTTACAATAAAAACACAGATGGTACACATACTTGAATTCTGATTTCAAGAAAGGGGGATGGTCACCAGAGGAAGATATGCTTTTATGTGAGGTAATTAATAATTTTATATCCTCTATTTTCATTTAAGTTAAACGGAGTCAGACTGTTTTTAAAAGAACTTCAAATGCATTTTTCAAAAACTTATTTTTTGGTAATTTATTTGGAGGAAATGTTACTTTCATTGATCAGTCGTACCAAGGTATTGCATATTACTGGTACAGTAGGTGTTGAGTTTTGGAAACATAAAAAAAAAAAAATAGAGGTAGGCCAGACCATAAGCTAATTGACATAGTTTTTGTCTTACCAAAGTAGGGCAAACAACAGCCACAGTTTCAGTTTGGATAAGTGTTATTCTAGATCGTTGAATTTGGCTACTGAGCTCATGACTTAATGTGATTTGCAGGCTCAAAAAATCTTTGGCAATCGATGGACAGAAATAGCAAAGGTGGTTTCAGGCAGGTATAAATATTAAAAAAACTTTGTGGAAAAAGAGATCTCATTATACAATCATTACTTTCATTTTCTGTTGTAGATTATCAATTTTTACTGATTATGTTATTAATGCAGAACGGATAATGCTGTTAAAAATCGGTTCTCTACACTGTGCAAGAAGAGAGCCAAGTATGAAGCCTTAGCAAAGGAGAACACTACATGTATAAACCCAAATAACAAAAGAATTTTACTCAGAAATGGGTTCAATACAGATGGAACAACCGAATGCACTGCTCCTGTTAAGAGAATGAGGTACCAGTGATGTAGAGATGTATATACATAGTAATGACTAAGAATTCTGTTTCTTTTATAAATTAAAATCTTTTCTTTTCCCAATCCAGGAGATCCCACATCTCTGATCTCTCTGGAAATTGTAACTTTGGAGATAGAGCACATAGAGTGTCTGCAACAATAATCAATCAGCAGCAAAGACATCCATTTGCTGTTTTGGGTCAAAATCTCCACAATGTTATCAACGTGTTAGTGCAATCTCAAGTCAACAATGTTAAAGAGGTCTCTGATGATGGTAAATCATCTCAAGTAACAATTTCTTGGCTTTGGCACTTGTATTTCTCTTGCTCTTTCTTTCACCAGATCTACAAAATGAATTTTTTACAATAGCTAATCACTTTGCAGTTTAGCCAAAACTGTGCATGCAGTCTTTTATTATTTCTGTTCCTTCTTCATAATATGACACTTACGTTCACTTTCACCTTTATTCATTAGCAGCTCAGAATAATAGAATTCAAGGAACATTTTTCAAACAGGATGATCCAATGATAACTGCTTTGATGCAGCAAGCAGAGCTACTCAGCTCACTTGCATTGAAAGTTAACACAGACAACACAGATCAGAGTCTGGAAAATGCTTGGATGGTGAGAAGTAATTTTGTATATTCTATATGTTTTTGTGTTACCAACATCCAATGTTATCAATCGGGTAGCTTCACAGTTAGTAAAGTGCTGAGTCTTAAATACCGTGGGACTAACAGTCCATTTTATGTTTTGCATGTCCCTAAACTTCATCCTATGTTATTTTCAGATTCTCCAAGATTTTTTGAATCAGAGTAAAAAAAATGACATCTTCAGATGTACGATCTCTGATATTGATTTTGAACTTGAGGATTTCAAAGACTTGCTGGAGGATTTAAGGAGTAGTAATGAGGGAACTCGACCATCTTGGAGGTAACTGAAAAATCAGTTGACTTGAATTCAGATTTGGTAATGTTTCTTACTCAACACTAACTAACGATCAATATGTTCTAGGCAACCTGATCTGTATGAGGCATCTCCAGCCAGCTCTGAATACAGTACAGGGTCAACACTCATGCCTCATCAGGCTGGGGAAAAAGGACAACAAACTGAAGCTAATATAGATGCACTGCACCAGGATATACTGTCAAGTCATATTGTAGAGCAGAATTGTGGGAGTGAAGAGGAGAAAGGGGCTCTTTCCAGTGCAAACACAAATCATGGTAATGTAATTGTATATCTTGTGTAAATGCCTAGGGTACCTTGTTTATGACTAAAAAATGAATAAATAAGATAAAATGATGTTTCTGATAAAATGTCTTATGTTACCACAGTCGAGACAATC